AAGTGGTTAAAGGTCCTCTCCTTGCACGCCCGGGATCCCATATGGGCACCGGTTCTAATCCCGGCAGCCCCACTTCCCTTCCAGCTCCCTGCCTGTGGCCCGGGAAAGCAGTCGAGGACGGCCCAAAGCTTTGGGACCCTGCGCCCGCGTGGGAGACCCGGAAGAGGCTCCTGGCTTGGGATCGGCATAGTATCGGCCCGTTGCGCTCACTTGGGGAGTGAATCAGTGGACGGAAGATCTTCCTCTCTGTCTCTCCTCTCTGTATATCCGCCTTTCCAATAAAAATAAATAATAAAAATAAATCTTTAAAAAAAAATCATTGCATCAGCTCTCGACCCAGAAAACATATTTGAGAAAATTCAGCACCCTTTTACGATAAAAAATACACAAAAGCTTGAAATAGAGACAACTTCAGTATTATAGGGACATGTATGAAAAGCCTATAGCTAACATCGTACTTAGTGATAAAAGACTGAAAACTTTCTCTGAGAAACAGGTTGAAGTAAACCTGAAAATGTTACATATACACACAACACAGTGTTCAGCTTTGAAACACGAAGGTGGCGACAACGTTTGGAACTGGAGGTCATGATACTAAGTAAAGGAAGCTAAGCACAGACAGGTGCTGTGTCATTTCACTCATGTGTAGGGTCTAAGGATAAACTCCCAGAACTTAAAAGAATAACTGGAGCTACTTGAGGCTGGGGAGGGAAAGATTGGTTAATGGTTACAAAATTATATGTTATATAGGAATAGTGAGTTAGGTAGGAGTAAGTTCTGAGTTTCTGTTATGCACAATAGGTAATATACGACAATAGGTAATATTAATGCACTGTGTATTTCTCCTTATAGTAATTAGATTGTTTTCACCATATAGAAATGTTAACTGTTTGAGGAGACAGATGTTTTTACCCCAGTTGGACATTACACAGTAATGTATATATTATATGTACATTATACATATAAGTGTATATGTTAAAGTGTTTTTTTTTTTTTTACTTTTAAAAAGGAAGGAAATACTGTCACATTCTACAACCTGAGTGAACTCTGGGGATATTACACAAGTTAAAAAAAAGTCGCAAACACAAGTTGTATAATTCTGCCCATGTGGAGTGTCAGAAGTACTGAGATTTACAATAACAGAAACTACAGTGCTGTGTTGTCTGGAAATCGGAAAGTTATTGTTCACTATAACTGGTTAGTGAGTCATTGTCAGCTTTGCAGAATATGTACATTTTAAAGATCTGTTATAAAACAATGTGAACATATTTTATACAGGTGAATTGTGCTCTGAAATAACATGTTAAATTCTATGATCTTTTTAATCACATTTAAAAAAATATATAAATTGTTTACAAAGGTTCTAAAACATAGAATAAGAAATAATATTTTATGAAGCCAGTGTTATCCTAATTTTTAAAAAAAGATCTGTTTATTTTTATTGGAAAGTTAGAATACAGAAAGGAGGAGAGACAGAGAGGAAGATCTTCTGTCTGATAATTCACTCCCCAAGTGACCACAATGGCTGGAGCTGAGCCGATCTGAAGCCAGGAGCCAGGACCCTCTTCCGGGTCTCCCTCACGGGTGAAGGGTCCCAAGGCTTTGGGCCGTCCTCGACTGCTTTCCCAGGCCACAAGCAGGGAGCTGGATGGGAAGCGGGGCTGCCGGGACACAAACTGGCACCCATATGGGATCCTGGCATGTTCAAGGTGAGAGCTTTAGCCATTAAACTACCACCCAGGACTCTATGCTGATTTTTAAAATCAGACAAAGATACCCTAAGAAAATTATAGACTACTATTAATTATGAATGCAAACAAGGAGTTTCTAAATAAAATACTAAAAAAAAGAAAGGACAGAATAAATGAAGTGGATTATGTTATGATCAAGTAGAATTTACCAACTTTTGCAAAGCTGGCTTAAAATTTGAAAATCAATTAATGTAATGTATCAACAAGATAAAAGAACAATGTCATATGATCATTTCAGTAGACACAGAAAAAAAACATTTGACCCGATAAATAAACTTAATACACTAGAAAAGGAAGGGTACTTCCTCAGTCTGTGAAAAATTTAGAACTAACATCATACTTCAAGGTGAAGAAAACAGTCTCCTCAAGGTAAAGATTGCCAACCTTATCAACTCTGTTCAGTGTAACCAGAGAAGTTAAACAAAATATGCAATTTAAAAGCAGATCAGAAATAAAGCATTTTGTATTTGAGAAAGATGTGATCTCATATATAGAAAAACCAAGAGACATACTAAAAATTAGAATTAATGAGTTCAATGAGGTTGTAGGATATAGGGTTAATGTAGAAAAATTATCTATATAGTAGAGGGGAACAATGTAAAAGTCAAAATCAGAAAAAGTCATTTGTTATCCCATCAAAAGAAAAACAATTTCATAAACCTAGTATAGAGCATACTGTGGAAACTGTAAGACATTAAAAGAAATCAAAGTAGACCTAAATAAATGGGAAAATATCCCAAGTTCATGAGTTATGATACTTAATATTGTTCCTGTATGAATAATTACTCCCCAAATTGATCTAATGTTTTCCCTAGGAAACTCCCTTCTTGCCTATGTTTAAATTGCTTAGTTGATTCTGAAATCCATATGGAAGTACAAAACCCCCAGAGTAGCAAAACCAAATTTGGAAAAATGAAGATCTGGGAAAGTAAATAATTTCAGAACTTAACCACAAAAGCATAGTAACCATATCTGTGGTTGTGGCAGAAGGGTGGATATACAGATCAGTGGGATAGAATTGAGAGTCAAGAAATAATGTGATAATATCTGTGGCCAGTGAGTTTTAAACAAGGTTCCCAGGCCCATTCAGTGGGCGAAACAATCATCTTTTCAACAAATGTGGCTTGAACAATTGGATACAAAATGCAAATGAATGAAGTTAAACTCTCATTTCACACTGTATATAAAAATTTGTTCAAAATGGAGCACAGACCTAAATGTAAGAGCTACACTCATAAACTTCTTTTTTGTATATAAACTCTTGCAAGAAAACATGAGGTTAATGCTTGTGATGCTGACAGTGATTTATTAGACAGGACAGCAGAAGCACGAGCAAGAAAAGAATGGGTAAACAAGTTGGACATCATCACAATTAAATTATCTTTTTGCTTCAGTAGACATCATTCAGTAGTGAAGAAGACAGTCCAAAAAATGGTGGGAACATTTTGCATGTCATATCCCATAACGTACTTTTCCGTAGAATAATGAACTACAATTCAAAGGTTGATACTCAGATACCACGTTGAATATCCATAGTGATTTGGCAATAGATAAAGAGGTTACCTAACTACGTCTGGTTTTTGTATTTTGTAGGTGTTTGTATTTTGAGAAGAAAGAGAAAAAATTCCCAAGGATAGGTAATGCCTAGGCTAAATCTTTGAAAATAAGCAGGAATTGGCCTGAGAAGGAGGCAGGAAAAAACCATTCCAGGAATAACATGTACAGATGACTTAGAATGAAGCAGAATGTGTTGCTTCTGTTTAAGTATATGACAGTTTTCAAATGGTCATCTTCCTTCCTTCCTTTCTTCCTTTTCTGTTTATTTACTTGAAAGAGTTAGAGGGAGCTACAGAGAGAGGAATCTTCCAGCTGCTAGTTCACTCCCCAAGTGGCTGCAATGTCCAGAGGTGAGCTCCTCCGAAACTGGGAGCCAGGAGCTTCTTCCAGGTCCCCTACTTGGATGTAGGGGTCCAAGGTCTTAGGACATCCTCTGTTGCTTTCTCAGCCCATCATCAAGAAGCTGGAGCAGACAGGGCCCAAACTGGTGCCCGTACTGGATGCTGGCACCACAGACAGAGGATTAACTTGATTTTCCATGGCCCTAGCCCTAAACATATAGCCATTTCTTTGCAGTACTGTTCTAAATGTCACTGACCAGATTGTAAGTGCATCCTTCCTTCAAGACAGACCAGCATTGTTCCCTCCTGTGCAAAGAATGAAAACCTGAATTACTTAAGTGGCGCAGAAAACTAATAATACTAATAATAAAGCTTGCTCTCAAAAGGATGTAATTTTTACAATACATGTTAGTATATCTTCCTAGTTTACTAGTTGGGAATTTATCTTTGATTTTTGGAAATTGAAGACTGAAAGATTTCCTTTTCTAAATATTTATTTTTGTTCGAAAACCAGAGTCACAGAGAGGAAGAGAAAGATACGTATATTCAAGTTCACTGCCCAAATGGCCACAACAGCTGGAGCTGGTCAGGCTGAAGCCAGGAGTCTGGGGCTTCATTATCTCCCACAGGGTGCAAGGGCCCAGTTCCCTCAACCATTCTCCGTTGCTTTCCCAGGTGCATTAGCAGAGGGCTGGCTTGGAGATGTAGCAGCCAGGACTTGAATCAGTGTGCTAAGAGGAGGTGCTGGCATTACCTGCTATGGCTTACCTCACTGTGTCACAATGCTGGCCCGGAGCTTTTTCTTTTTTAATGAACGTCTGTACCTTCCTGTACATTCCCGTACCTCCAGCACTACGGAAAATTGAACTAAGGAGAATGTCCCAAAGCCATGAGAGAAACGGAGTCTAGGGGCTGAGAACTCTAAAGGAACAGTTGGCCAGGTTAGATGCAATTTCCTCTGACATTTGTCTTTTGAGTAACTAGTGCCGTATTTGGAAATAACAGCAAAACAAATGAGCTGAACACGAGACCTGTGTCAGTTTGTGTGTGCTAGGGGACGTTGGGAGTGTGTTTATCTGGATCATTAAAAATTGGGAGCATGAACACAAGATTTTTTTTTGGTAGGAGGATAATTCTGCATGAATGGCATAATTCCAGGTATTGGATTTGCAATAAAATCTTCCAGAAGAATTGATATCCTGAACACACAGCCTCCCTGGCACCAATAGGACTTTTATCAAATGTGCTTAAAAAAAAAAGTGGGAGATCATTTTGTTTTGTAATTCACCATGTGTGGGGAGCAGAGTTCTGATTTCAGTGTCTGAAATAGGATGTGTTGATTGTTTCCCAGCTTTGTGTGGTGTCCCTGGCGCTATTCAGAACACTCATTGGTTTACATTGTGAAGATGTGATGTTACAACTGATTTTAAGGTGAGTTGTCTTTTTTGTTATCTGTCAAGGAAAATTTACTCGGTCATGTTATCATCTTATTTTCCTTTGCTAATATGACCTAATAAGGACCATGCCTTTAGGGAAGAAAATCTTCAAGAGTATCAGTTATTTCAGTCTTACTGTTAAAAGTATCGTGACAGAGGGGTAGATGCTTTATATTTGAAATATACTCGTGGAAATAATAGAATGCTTGAATGCTCCAGAAGTCCGGTGAGAACTGTTTGTGCATTGACGCTGAGTGTCTCTCCTGAAGGGAATCTTTGTTATCAATTTTTAAAATAAAGGCGTATTTATTTATTTATTTATTTGAAAGAGAAACAAGAGATCTTCATCTGCCAGTTCACTCTCCAGATTTCCAGAACGGCTGGGGTTGGACTAGACCAAAGCTAGGAGGCTGGAATGCATCCCTGTCTCAAAGGACCCGAGAACTCAGGCCACTCTTCTGGGGTTTTCCGAGGCGCATTACCAGGGAGCTGGGTCTGAAGCTGAGCAACAGGGACTTGGACCTGCATTCGTCAGCGATGGTGGTGTACAGCTGTTGTGTAACTCACCATGCCACAATGCAAAGCCCTTAGGGATCTTTCTGATTGAAAGCAGCTTTTCCAAAGATGAAATGCTTACGTTGGATAGGTGCTGCACTAGCCAACCTGTGCTTCCAGTTGCATCAGTAAATATCTCTTGTGTTTTTGTGTGTAATGCAGAGAAGAGTAACACAGAGAGCAGGTGAATTCAGAGGGACACACATACCAGGCTTCTGACGGTGTTTCCTTTAGTAGTGTCGCTGGGAATGGATTCATAAAGAGGCTGGCAGAGAATCAAACTGTACTGTCCTTAGGATGACCTTAGTTTGGGAGTTTAGGTAAAAAAAAAAAAACTCAGGATAACCATGTCCTACCTGGGGCCTGCTATGCGTCATCTTCTCTGGATATCGTAGTTCATTGTTTTTTGTTTGTTTTTTGTTTTTTGGGTTTTTTAAAAATTTTTATTGCAAAGTCAGATATACAGAAAGAAGGAGAGACAGAGAGGAAGATCTTCCGTCCACTGATTCACTCCCCAAGTGACCACAATGGCCGGTGCTGCGCCAATCTGAAGTCGGGAACCTCTTCTGGGTCTTCCACACGGGTGCAGGGTCCCAAAGCATTGGGCTGTCCTCTACTGCTTTCCCAGGCCACAAGCAGGGAGCTGGAAGGGAAGTGGAGCTGGCACCCATATGGGATCCCGGGCGTGTTCAAAGCGAGGACTTTAGCCGCTAGGTCACACTGCCAGGCCCCATGGTTCATTGTTAACTCGGAGATTTGCTCCTGAAATCCAGTGCAAAGTTCTCCAGTCCTCAGACTAGACAGTAGTGTACTTCATTCCTCTTTTATTCTTTCCCTCTGCTTCCCACCACTCCCCTCCTCTCTCCTCCCCTTCCTTTCCCTTCTTTCTAAGTCACAATCCTAAATCTTGGAATTAACTCTTAAAGTGAGACCTTCTTGGACACTACAGAAAACTGGGAGGAGTTCCAGAGGGAGAGCTGCCAGTGCTTGTGCTCCTGCACTCTCTGCTAGCAGTGCGGGCGCTGAAAGAGGGAAGCACAACAACCAGGATCCTCTAACGTGTACTTCCCTCCCCACCCCGCTTCCTCAGTGCAATTTCTGACCCTTCCTTGGACCTGGCCGTAGGAACGAGGGTGCATGAAGCTGACTGCAGGGGAGGAAGGGAAACTCAAGCTTTTCCCTAGTTACCAGGGAGGTTGCAATTTGTGTAGAGGCCCCCAAGGAGAAGGCAGCCCAGGTGGGTGTCCATAGCAGATCCATTGAGGTAGCTCTAGAACAGTCTGGAAGTGTCAAAGTTGGATCTCGGGAATAGCAACAGTGCCAGTGCCTGGGAAGCAGGTAGAAATGCAAAGTCGACCCCTCCTAGATCTGCAGCATCAGAAATGCAGAGCGGAGCCCTGAGAGGTAGGTGTTGACAAGCTTCAGGGGATTCTTCTGTGTCACCCAGCATCCCTGGTCTCAGGGATACTGTGCTGTAGATACGGTGTCCCATGAAGGGGAATGATGGTGGCATATTGTGGAGCACCTTAGAGCATTCTCATGGGAGAGTGTCACTTTAGGTTTTAGCGAGTTATTTTCAATAGTGATGGAAAGTCCTGAGTAACTAATTGTAAGGCATTAGCAGGTTACAAATCTGATCAAAACATACATCCTGGGTAGTCTGGGAAGAGCATTCATTTTCTAATGCAAAAGAATTGCTTTAGTTCTGTCCAGTCTACTGATATGACAAAAAGCATCAACAAGGCTTAATTGAAATTCACGAGGATCTGGCAAAGCCAATTTTATTGCCAAAATAAGTCTCTGGTTTCAGTTTGGGAGAAATATGATTGTGTCTAAGTGTTAAGTTCTTAAATAGTGCTTCTCTGACACAGGGCAAGGCAATGTTTTTTTCAGTATACCTGGAAGCCTGGTGTTGCCAGAAGGTACAGAATTTGCCCGTTCTGGATCACCAGGTCAGATTTAGCCCAGGTGCTGTAAGGTTTGCTGACTGGCTGATCAGTGACTTTCACAAGATGAGCTCCAGTCTCCTTTTGCCTGCATGTAAAGCAAGTGTCTTTTATATTAAAACTGTCTTCAGAGATGGCATTAGCACTGGCTGTGACTCCCGGCCCTAAACCCTGTGAAGATGGAGAAATAATCTAATGGTTGAAATACATATATATGGGACAGATACTTTCCTAGGGCACCACCTGAAGGGCATGTTCAAGTAGAGTAATGCGGGAGATGCTGCAGCGGAGTGAGGACCAGCCTTGCCCCTGGTCCTGCTGTCTGAGATGGAGTTTTTCCTTACTTTTCTCTAATGATGATGACTGGGTGATGATAATGAGACTCCCTGCCCCTTTGCTCCTTACTGACTCCTTCTCCACCTGTAATTCTGTCGCACGGTGAGAGAGTGTGACAGGACTTTTCAATAAAAGTGAATTGGGCACACAAGAAAAGTGGGGCTCTTTCCTCTAACCTGATTTGAGTCTACCCATTTCCTATTTGGTTTTTGGGTTATGTTATCTCATAAGGTTATTGGGAGGGCCCACTGAAGTGTTACTGGTATCTTTGAGAACAGGTTTGGAACACTAAGGTATCTCACACATTTAAGGGAGGGACATTTCCTAGAAAATACACTGTCTTTTCTGATTGGGAATCTATGTTAACAGCAAGAATATTTTAAAGACTGGCCATTCAAATCATTTAAACTTTATTGTAAAGAAGATAAGAAAATCAGTTTTATATTACACCTTCTGTTGTTGCCGGGGCAGTCATTCAAATGTACATGATAAATGTGTGGATCTGAGAGGCAATAGAGCAGCAAAGATTATGTGAGTGCTTTTAATGAAGTTATTTATTATCTGATAAAAAATAATAACTGCATGTCAATTTTTTGTTGCAACTCAAATACTCTTTAATTATCGATGTTTTGAAATGATAATCCATTTCCAAGTGATACAAGTTTCTTTGATTTAGCAAGCCTCAGAAAAGTATGTTGCAATGAGGTGAATCTTGAAAGCTCGGCTCTGGGGTAACAGAATCCCGAGGAGCAGGTGTCTCCCTCTGTGCTTGTGATGGAGGTGGGCTGAAGGCAGGTAGGAAATACTGACAAGGGGTGGAGCTGCATATCAGCCCCAGACCCTGAGGTGCCCTAGGTTAGACAAAATTTAGTTGCTTTATACCTTCTTCAACACCATTTCTGAGTATTCTGGGTAGGTTTTCTTCCCTCACCTCCCAAACAGCTGATTCATTGTCAAGTTGATGAACTGTATTGCCTGTTAGGTTCAAATGGAGGCTGTTTGTTGTGCTTGAAGAGATGCTGTGCACACACTTTAGAAACATTTCCACCTTGCATAGGATTGAGGGTAATGGCCCAGCAAGCCTTTGGTGAAGATAAATAGAAGAAATATTGCCAAAACATCTTTGAAAACAAACCACCTTCTGCAATTCACCTACGTTGCCTGCTGGTGCATTGCCATGGTTCCTATCATCTAAGAAGAAACACTTTGCTTCCTTCACTGTATTTTATAGTTTCGTGGGTTTTTTAAGTTTACTTGTTTCAAAGGCAGAGCCACACACACGCGTTCACATTTTTGTGGTCAGCATAGAGGTAAGCAATTTGTTATCGGTGCTTACCACTAAATTTCAGAAGTGAAGATAGTTTATTTGAATAAGTGATATTCAGCACAAAAAGAGAAATAGCCCAGGGTTACTGCGGACTGGGGAGATGACGAGAACAGGAAAGATTGAGGGAGGGCTTCAAATAACCTTGACCGCTGGAATCAGCTGTTCTTTAATTTTCATTTTTTTTTTCTTTTCACTGTTTCCTAAATTAAAATCCCTAAACAAAATGTAAAGTAAGCAAAAAGACAGTTTGATGACAAACACTAAACTCGTGGCATTTTCTGCCTTCAGCAGCCGCTGTAGTTTGATCATTGACATTTGTATTCATTCTGCCCCTTCATTCTTTGGGATAGAGGATCAAGGCATGGCTTTTCTACGCTTTCCTCGGGGATGATCCCTGTTTGAACACGGGGGCGGGGAAGAGGGATTCTTATTTGCATGGACTCCCTGGTTTCCAGCCCCTTTCTACTGATATGGAGTCTCTTAGGTTTATTCAGAAGGAAATTTTCATTTCTGCTGGAAGCGTGTCTTTGCAAAGTTGCAAGCTCCCGATAACTGCTTTTTCTAATACAATTTCAAGCTCTCTGCTGGTGGTATTTGATAAATAGTCTATTAGCTTTGATCCAGCATTCCATTTTTTAAATACTTCAAACAAAGAGTAGAAATCTATGTATATCAACTTAAATCATGAAATATGCTTGGTTTGATCCACCGGTCGTTATTGAGTTCCTGCAGTAGATAAAAGCACCAAAGCAGTTTATTTTTTAAATAATTAATGATCACAATAAGCCCTTTGTAATCTGAATTTCCCTTGGCCTTACTGGCCTAAGGAAAAACAAGACTTCACTCCCACAAGCAGCCTAGCTCCCTGGCTCTCAGCCTGGCTCATCAGCCATGGTTTTAGTGGGTTTCCAGGTAAGTACTTTTTTTACACGTATTCATGAGCAAGTGGCTTCTGCATCATTGCAATGGGTCTGCTGTGTCTCCTGTCCTACCCTGGCCCTGCGGGGTGCCCCCTGCTCCTACTTGTGCTGCTGGGGCAGCACTGCCTTCTCTTGGTGCCAGCTGCGCCCCAGCAGTGCTGTGTTCAGATAGAGGTGGCACAGTACCCCTCTTCCCTTATCACTCCTGGTCACCAAAGCATCTCTGCTGTGAGAGTTCCCTGTGAGAAAGAGTGCCTTCGGTTTTGACCTGCGAGGTCCATGTCCTGCAGTAGGATTCAGAGACAGGTCTCCAAAGCTGTCCCTCTCTGTACTGTCTGCCCCTCATGCTTCCTGTTGTTCCTCATGCTTTTCAGTAGGAAGTTGAGCTTAAGAGAACAGAGAATGCCACACAGACATGGGCAGGTATGGATGCTCGCGCTGACGTGTGGGAGGGTGTCTGTGTCCCAGGATGTAGGGGGTCAGAGGGGAGAAGGAGAACCCCCTTGCCTTTGCTACCATAGATAGTTGCAGTACTTGAGAAATGGTTCTGTTTTGCTGAGAACTAAAGGGTAAGTGGCAAGTTTGTCATTTCCCAACTGGAAGGTATTATTAAAACGCTTGGTGTGAAGTACCCATGAACAGAATTGAATCTTTTCTCTTCCTAACTCAGGCTCTTGCAGCGTGGATCCGTCATTTATAGCAACTTAGGCTTTCCTCATGTAGATCAACAGTTCGAGAAGCGGGAGAAGGCTTAACGTGTATGGGCCTCGAGACATAATCCGGAAAGCTGTACTTTTTATCTTTTTCACAGAAACCCTTGTTTCCCTTAGCACTAGCTCTTGAGAGCCGAAGGCAGAAACAGAAGTGTTCTGGTTTATTAAGACATTGTGATTGTGCACACGGGGCTGAGGCGCTTGTGGAATTTGGCCTGGATTGTCTATGCGTGTTTACTCCTGTCAGCTCCATCTTTGTTTAGCAAGAGGTTCTGCTTGGTTTTTTGTTTTTTTCCTATTAAGAAAGAAAGCCAATGAAGCAGACTTACCCTTGCCCACATGCTACAGGCGTGTCAGGAATGAATACCCAGACATGATTTCTTGTCTCCAGGTTCATAATGACACCGAATCTGTTTTGTGTGAAACAGAGGCAGGGGACCCAATGCTCCCGGTGACTTCCTGGCCATCAGCTTTTCTGCTCGTTCTTGAGAATGTCAGAGGAGGCACGTGCTGTGGCGTGGCAGTGTGCTGCTGTCACTTAGTGCCCACTGTGTACAACAGCTTGGTGGATTTCAGGACAAAGCTGCCAAGGCAGGACCTTGCTCTAGTAGCACATCGTACCACAGAGGCAAATCCTGAAATCCTTATGATTTGTGGTAATAGCAGTCTAGGAGAAGGCTGTGAACAGAGGGGAGATGATAAATGAATACAGTCTCAGAGTAGGGAGCCAGGAAGCCTTCCCACAACACGTGACACTGGAGCTGGCCTTTGTGGGATGACAGAGAACCGGGCAGACACACTCCAGGTGAAGGTTCTGGTGGGTGCAGAGGCACAGCTGTGAAGGGGATCCTGCCGGAGATGAGAAAGTTGATGGACATTAAATTGTAAAGGACCCGGATGTTATGTAGAGAGGGTGTCCAGGCAGAAGAAAGACTGCCTTGATGTATTTTAAACAAAGGAATGAGCATGAGGTGGCCAGGCATACAGATGGAGGGAGAGGCTGCGTCTGCCCTGCCTGCATCAGTCCCTACCCTGCTCAAGGCTGAAGGTCACTCCTTGTCGTTCTAGGTACCTGATCCCCTGCCATCACATGATGCTGAGCCAGAGGCGGGCTGTGAAGGAGAGAGACTGTTATTCTGTATCTGCCGCCAAGCTGCTTGCCCTGACCCCTGTCTGCTGCTCCAGCGGGATCACTCTGACGCTCGGGAACCAAGAGAGGGATTACATCCTGTGGTCAAAGTGTGCCCAGGACGATCCAGGTAGGAACTTGCTAAGGTCTCCATCCCTCCTTGGGGTTTCCTTTTCTGTACTAGACAGGAGATAATGGCATACCATAGAGTCTAGTGTCTTTTTAGCAATGCCTGGGAGGGGTCTTTCTGTGCATCCTCAGGTCATGGACACTTTGTAATGAATATTCATTGACGTGCCTGGCCATCACCTGGTTGGCTGATACAGACCTTTATTTTTTAAAGAGTTTACTTATTTTGATTTGAAAGAGAGCAGAAGACAAAGAGAGGTCTTTCATTCAGCTGGTTCACTTCCCAAATGGCCATAGTGGCCAAAGCTGGGCTGTGAAACAAAGTCAGAAGCCAGGAGCTTCTTTCTGACTCCTATGTGGATGCAGGGTCCAGGCTATTTGCAGGGAGCTGGATCAGAAGCAGCCGGGACAGGAACTGGCACCCTTCTGGGATGCTGGTGCTTGCAACTGGAAGATTAGCCGGCTGTGCCACAGAGCCAGCCTTGGGCCTTTATCTTAAGTGGGCTTCCCAGTGTCTCCTCGGAATCCAAATGTGAACATGTGGCTTGTGAAACCAAATGGTAGTGAGTGGAGTGAAGTCAACCGCATCCAAACCAGCCTTTATTTTCATTTTCAGGAGACGGATTTGTGAGTTATTTATCTGTCGATAGTATATCACTCACTATAGATGATGAAATTCATGTTATGACAGCAATAACTGTTTCTGACAGAAGTTAGAATATTACCTGTATGCTGGATTTGATTCACCTCATCCAGGCAACATTTAACCTGCCCACTTCGTTAGCCTTGACCCTCACAGGCATCTGAACATCTTCGGTGTTCATATGACTCTCTTAGTTCAGAAACATTCTAGCTGTCCTGCGAACGCTGGGAAGTGTCCAGTCCTGACATTGACTCAAGTGTGTTCCAACACCTCCCCGCCCCCGACAACGTCAGTCTTTCCAGTCACCTGTAGTCCTCTTAGATAAAATAGTTTTTAAAAGATTTATTTATTTTTATTGAAAAGGCAGCATTACAGAGAAAAAGAGAGATGGAAAGGTCTTCAGTAAGCTGTTCTCTACCCAAATGGTCACAGTGACCAGTGCTGCACTGGTTCAAAGCCAGGAGTCAGGAGCATCTTCTGGGTTTCCCATGTGGGTACCAGGGGTCCAAGGACTTGAACCATCCTCCACTGCTTTCTCAGGACACGAGCAGGTAGTAGGATCTCAAGTGGAGCAGTTGGTCTTGAAGCGTGCCCATGTGAGATGCTGGTACAATAGGTAGAGGCTTAGCTTGCACAGGCCTCTAGGTAAAATAGATTTAATAACCAGGCTACATGACTAAGAAAATATTGACATACTTGCCATAAATGCAGTTTTTAGAGATAAAGGTTGTCTTATTGATTCTTGATCTTTATATAAAAAAACTGCATGGAAGCAAAAATTTTATTTGACTTTATCTTAACTGTATTTTCCTGTTAGATAAACCAGTTTGGATAGACCAGTTTGGATAGCTTATATTTTCCTCATCTAAAAGTTACTTTTGAAAATTTATATCTTGGGAACTGGTACCATGGAGTATCAGATTAATCCTCTGCTCACAGAGTTGGCTCTATCTATCTATCTAGATAAATAAATATATATCTATATATAGATATAGATCTCTATGTATCTGTCTGTCTATCTATCTGTCTATATACACACACACCGGTCTGAATCCTGACTGCCCCATTTACAATCCAGCCCCTCTGGATTGTGGCCTGGAAAGGCAGTGGAAAGTGGCCCAAAGCCTTGAGACCCTGCATTCATAAGGGAGACCCTGAGGAAGCTCCAGCCTTCCCAGATTCAAACCAACTCAGCTCTGATGACTGTGATCATTTAGGGTGTGAGCCAGGAGCTGGCTGATCTCTCTCTTTATCTCCATTGCTGTGATTCTGCCTTTCCAATAAAAATAAGTAAATATTTGAAAAAATGTATATCTTTTAAATGTATGGTGATAGTTTTATGAATGGTTATGGCATATTGGTTACTCAATATCATGTCAAATAATTCCATAATGTTGTAAATTGTTGTTGATGTTATGTTGTGGCTTTTAATTAATTGGGATGATATTCTGCCAGCTCTGCCTTCAGACCAGAGATGGTCTCCCCAAGAAACTGTTGCATTTATCTGGACACTAGGATGCTGGACTCTATGCTTGGTATATGCTTGCAATGAAAGAATCTTGACTGAATTTGAACCGTAATACAGCAACAAGGTGGAGGAATCCACCATCGGGGGAGGGTACGGGGAGGAGTTGGGAGAATCCCAGAGCCTATGAAACTGTGTCACATAATGCAATGTAATTAATTAAAAAAAGAACAGTTGTGGCTTACCATTCAAATTAAATATATGGTTGTCTATTACATGCTACCTTCTTTACCTGTGTGATTAATGCTTTGAAGAAGATAGAAATGCTCAGTGTGTTCCTCCCAATGGTTTATAAGTTTGCCACAGTTAGCTCTTAGTTCTCCAAGGGCTGACACCAGGTAATGGGTTTCTGATGACCATAGCCAAGACCTCACTGGCCATACTGGTTTTATGTCTTCAGTGAAGATATTTTTTAAATGTATTTCTTTATTCTACAAGTATTCATTTTATTTGAGAGACTGAGATATGAAGATCTTCCCTCCACTAATTTGACTCCCCAGCTGCCTGAAACAGCCAGGGCTGAGCCAAGATGAAATCAGGAGCCAGAAACTCAATCTAGGTCTCCCTCATGGGTGGCAGGGATAAAAAGACTTGAGCTTTTCTTTTTTTTTCTAAAGATTTACTTATCTGGATTTGAACAATAAAATACAGATTTACAGAGAGAAGAAACAGAGAATGATCTTGTGTCCACTTGTTTACTCCCCAAATGGCTGCAGTGGCCAGAACTAAGTCACTCTGAAGCCAGGAGCCAGGGACTTCCTTGGGATCTCCCATGCAGGTACAGGGGACCAAGGCCTTGAATCACCCTCTGCTGTGTTCCAGACCACAAGCAGGGAGCAGGATGAGAAGTAGCAGGTGGGGCAAGAACTGGTGCTCATATGGGATGTCAGCCCTTGAAGGTGGAGGATTAGCCTGTTTAGCCACAGTGTTGGCCCCAGGTTTTAAGTTGTAATGACTGCCTCTCGTGGTATGCATTGGCAGGAAGCTGGAACTGGGAGAAGAATCTGGATTTTAATCCAGTCACTCTCAAATGGGCTGCAGATGTTCTCAGGGATGGCTTAACTTCCATACCAAATGCTAACTCCTGTGAGGGTATGGCAGAAAACTTAGCTATTTTTATTACACAGAAATTATTGGGATTAGAGTTGTGATATTGTAGATGAAGTTACTGTCTGTAACACTAACATCCCATGTTAGTTTGAGTCCTGGCTGCTCTACTTTCTATCCAGCTCCCAACAGGGCACCTGGGACTTTAGGGCCTGGGCCTCCTGCATGCATGTGACAGACACTAAAGCAGTTCCTGACTCTGGACAACGGATGGAATTCCTCTGTTTGTGTTTCTCCCTCTGTCTCTGTAGTTAGAGGTTATTGCACTTGAAGTAGGTGGTGAGGCAGTCAGCCTGAACAAGCTCTTATGGTTCACCCTGCGGTGTCCTCCCCCGTCTTGTTCTGACTGGTCTTTGCCTCGTTGCAGGATCCACGGAGCAGCAGTCCCCGAAGGAGTTCTCCCCGTCTGCCTGCATCGTGGAGTATGGGAAGGCGCTGGACATCAGCTACCTGCAGTACCTCTGGGAGGCCCACAGCAACATCCTGCACTGCATGAGGGACTGCCGCGTCTGGTCCGCCCTGTACGACGGGGACTCCCCGAACCCTGAGGTGTTGCTCCGGAACCACACGGAGGATGGCAGCGCCATACCATCCGGCCCCACCTTCCGAATCCCACAGCAGCTCCTGGGGAAGAGGGGGCCACCGCTGGCTCCGAGAAAGGACAAGGGCCACAGCGAGCTGGAGTGGGACGACAGCTATGACACCGGCATCTCCTCAGGGGCCGACGTGGGCTCGCCCGGGCCTTACGATGAGGTGGAGACGGCAGGCCCTCCTGCGCCCGTCGATCCTCCCCGACACATCCAGGAGATGAAGAAGAACGCCCTCCTGCTCTTCAAGGGGTCCTACATCGAAGAGTCGGACTTCCAGGATGACGTGATGGTGTACAGGCTGTGCGCTGAGAAGGACTCCGAGGATGCGGGTCATCCGCAGGAGGACACAGCAAGGCCTCCCACCCAAGGCCATCCCCAAAGTCAGAATGCTGCCCTCAACAACGGCCCCCTCCCCAGCCCGCAGCCGGGGGCAGAGCCTGAAGAGGCGCATCACCCGGAGGGCGCAGTGCTGCTGGACCCAGAGCGAGAGACGGGGCCTGCAGAAGCCCCCACCTCAGCCTCGGGATCTGAAGCCAAGCGCGTCTCCAGCCTCACAGCTACTAAGCCAGAGAGTGAAGATTTCATTGCCCAGTATGACCAGATCATCAGAGAACTGGATTCTGGCCCCGAGAGCCTGTTGGAACCCGACCCCTTGCTTCTCACAAGGCAGGAGGAGGGAGAGAAGGAAACCGGGAGTGCAGGAGACAAGCAGCAGCCCAAAGAGGAGATGAAGGAGCTGGAGGAGGAAGACGAGGAGGATGACTTTGACTCTTTCATCACGGAGAGCCCTGCTGTGGAGACTGTGCCTTCCCCGTTTGGGGTGAGAGATGAGGCTGCTGTGGGCGCTCGGCAGCCCGGGAGGACTCAGAGCACCCCGTTCACAGGTGACGAGCGAGCATTGCTTGAGGTCTCTGCTTTGGAAAGAGAGGGAAGGAGGAGGGGAGGGAGGGAGAGAGTGAGAGTATGTGTGTGTGTGTGTGTGTGTGTGTGTTGGAGCAGGAGAGTAAGGTAGGTAAAAGCCACAGACCGTTTCTGCGCAGAGTAAGGAGGGATGGCTTTATTTTCACTCCACCCTTCCGGGCATTGATGGTCCTGTTTGTCCAGTAAGTTGGGGATTTGTTTTTACCCGTTAGTAACCTTTCTTGAGGTGTTCAAGATCAAGTTGTGGGATTGATTAAACCACAGAGGAAACCAAACCCATCTTTGAGTAATCTTAGATCCTGTAGTCGAATTTTAATTCTCCTCCTTGCCACTTATTTGTGTGTGGGTTCTAATTATGTAGCCTCTCTGTCCCTGGAAGGTGCACTCCGTGAGAGCAGAACGTGTGCTCTCTGTCCCATGCCAGCACCTGCACGGTGGACAGGACATGTGCACGGCAGTAGCTGTGTACACACATCGGAGGCCTTGGGCTCGTTGTGCCGTCTCTGGGAGTGCGTTTCAGAGAATCACGAAATCGTCATCTAAAAAAAAAATACTTTGACCAGACCCATGTAAATACACAGCTCCTTTAAGCAATATACTACCGAACAGAGGTGGAAATCGCCTAAGAGGCAAAGGGATGAAGGTGAGGAATTCTGACTGACAGCAGACCTCCTTAATGGGAAGTGGGCGCTGTGGCACAGTGCATTAAGCTTTTCTTGCATCGCTTGGCATCTGGTGTTGAAGTACTGGTCCACATCCTGTCTCCCCTTCTGATCCTGCTCCTTGCTAATGTGCCTGGGAAGACAGAAGGTGATGGCCTGGATGTCCCTGCTCCTGCCACTCACACAGGAGACCTAGGTGGAGTTCCTGGCTTCACTCTGGCCCGATCTTGTCTGCCTGTTGTGACCAAGTTAGGGAGTGAATCAGCACATGATCACTTGCGTTCTCTTTTAGTTTAGTTTTTTTTTTTCCTCTGTTGCGCTGCCTTTCAAATGAAGAAATCTTTATTAAAAAAAAAAAAAAGAAAAGAAAGAAAGAAAGAAAACCTTATGAACTGTTTACCCAGTGAACTCTTGAGTCTGCGAGTGGTGCTGCCCAGGGAACTGCCACAGAGGAGGGGGTTCGTGAAGTCCAAGTTTGGCATTGGAGTTCTGGGTGGTTGTACAAGGAGAGGTGGTGGGGGGAGGCTGCAGTGGACAGGGTGTAGACGGTAGCTGTGGCATCAGGCTGTGAGTGGATCCCGGCTCTAGCACCTACCTGCCACGTGCTCTTGACATCCTCAGCACTCCCATTTGTCCATTTCAGGACTGAATGAGATCACTGTCCTCCTGCGGAGCCCCTGGCAGCCTCTGCTGACCTGCCGAGAGCAGCTTGGCCACGAGGAACTGTGCTGCCACATCCCCAGATCGCCCCCAAACACCCGGGAGCAGGTGCCTTCTCGTCCAGCAAGTGAACTCCGTGATATCCCTAGGAGCTCCTCCCCCAATGTTTAATTCATGTATTTACTGATGCCTCAAGATTTATTTAAACAGAGAGAAGGCTTTTAATTCCACAATTAAAAGGCTAGAAGTTCTAGTTGAGATAACATTTCAGTGTGAACAAGTTTTAATTAAAATTCAATCAGTCAGTCAATCATAAGTAAAAGGGATTAGATAATCTTACGGTTCTGTCTGATAAGCAGAAGGTAGTGGAGGGGGCCAGGAGAGCTTAGTTAGGGAGACGCAAGCAGACTTAGCCTGGCCCGGCCGGCTGTCAGCCTTCACTGGAGGCCCGCCCCATTTACGCTTGCCCGGCGGGAAATGCCAGTCTTATCCTGTAGCCCTTCTTAGGATGCCCTCTCAGGGCAGCCCATAGCTGAGGAAGGTTGCTTTTCACCACACTGGCTCTCGTACGGAAGAGCTTTGTTCCCAGGAAATGTGTACATTGAGGAAGCAAAGAGGAATTTGGGACTAAAAACAAGCACAGCGCCAATGTGACACCTCATGAAAGGGCGTGGTTCCCCTGCGAGGCTCGTGGACAGTGATGTGCGGTGCCAGTCTTTAATACCTATTGGTAATTACAGTCGGGATCTCATCCCTGTTTGTCCATGAAACCGACACCGAGCTTCAGGAAGCACCTTTTTCCCTCCCGTGCAGGCTTGCTTTGCAGTTTTCAGACTTGTAAGTGTGTGAGCGGGAGGCCTGACTTCCTTCCCTCTAAGGAATCCCGACTTTGGCGAGGTGACTTTGCATCCAGGGCGCAGCAAATTGTTCTCTTTACCTGATTTTGTTATTCACCTATTCAGCCATCCTTTATTGATTCCTCAAACTTGACAGGTCACAAAACAAAAGAAACTCACAGGCTTCGAGAGCAAAGACCTGTCACGCCCTGTTAGTCGGAAATGAGTCTGCAGTTACTGTGTAGTCATGAGGGATCCCCACAGGAGTGGGAAAGGCCTCCAGGACGAGGAGCTCGGGGTGCTGAGGGGAAGTGCCTTGGTGGAAAGAGTCGACCCTGGCAGCCAGCCTGCGGGGGTGTGGACTGCGCAGACCAGGGGAGTGGGGGAGGAAGCCACAGCGTGGTGGGTGCCAGGTCATGGGTGTCAGAGCGCCAAGCGGAAGAACGGGGGCTTGTGGTTCAGGCTCGGGAGAAGCGCTGGCAGTGGTACATTTGGGGGCGTGCCATGAGCCGATCTGTGAGAGCCAAGCCGTGTGTGGGAGTGGGCACTGCAGTGGGCAGAGGCTGGTGCTGGGAAGCCTAAGGGAGGGCCTCCGGGCGTTTGTAGCAGAAATCCAGGTGAGCCAGAGCTTCCATCCCGCAGTGTCATTCTTGGGAGTGTTTCCACAGCCCTGTTCACACTCCTCTGCCATAATGGACTCACACATCGGGGGAAGCCCGGGGACAACCCCAGGGCCCGCCTGATGAGAAGACTGACTGTATCCAGTATCCTGTGGACATAGCTCTGTATGTGCTGAGAGGGGACAGCCCCCAGGTCTCGTAAGTGAAAAAGAAAGCTACAGAATGGTGTCTGGAGGCTGTTGCTGTTTATTTAAAAACAAAAACTGAAATACACAGCAGAGTTCAGGCACACACGCATGCGCACAGAGGCACGTACCACTTGCTTCCCTGGGCCGTGCGATAATGTGCTGGTGACGGCACTGGGAGCAGGTAATCCAAATCAGCATTCTGACTCCTTGCTTAGCATTCAGCCTCGGCGCTTGGTTGGCGATATTTGCCATCACTGGCTCCTTGGGGTGATTGTGAGTATTGAGCTGATCCCTGGAAAGTGCTGACAACACTGGCTGCTACCTGAGAGGTGATGTGAATAAAGTGTTTTCTGTAATAGCTGAGACATTATTAAATATGTAAAACTTTTAAAAAATACATTAGAATCTGGTAACCGAAGTTTCCTCCGGTGGGAAGGGCTGTTTTCATTTTATATATATATATTTTTTTTAATTTCTGTTGCACTAGCAGAGCTGTTACTGGAACCGGCCCTGAGGCAGTGCTGGCGGGGCAGGTGGACACTCAGGTGGACACTCAGGCCTGCAGGCAGGAGCTGTTTCCTAGGTGGGACCTGCAAGGCTGAGGTGCCATGCTCACGGAAGCTCCGTTCCTGTAGCGGGGGGGACCACAGGGCCATGACAGACTGAGGCAGCGAGCGAGGCCGGCAGGAGGGAGAGAAGGGAGCAGATAGTAAGAAGAGCTGGATGGGGAATTTGTCCTGCTGGAAGAGGAGGGCGTGAAAAAACACACCCTTCACTCTGGCCATCCTGGACTTTCTGAATTGTAGCTGAGCTCTCTGATTTTTGGTTGGTACTGGTTTCCCCTGGCAACTGCTTTTCTGGTAAATAGTTTTTTGTTTTTTAATGTGCTAGAAACTAACTAGGAATAAAATGGGTTTAATATTTGTTTTTCTTATTACAAATACCTTAGAAATTGTAATTAATGACACTGATTGATGATCATGGTGACCTTTTGGCCTTGACCTCATTTTTTAAAAACAGATTTATTTATTTTTATTGGAAAGTCAGATATACATAAAGGAGGAGAGACAGAGAGGAAGATCTTCCATCTGCTGATTCACTCCCCAAGTGACTGCAATGGCCAGAGCTGAGCTGATCTGAAGCCAACAGCCTCCTCCAGGTCTCCCATATGGGTGCAGGGTCCGATGTCTTTCAGCTGTCCTTGACTGCTTTCCTAGGCTGCAAGCACGGGGCTAGACGGGAATTGCCACCCATCCGGGATCCAGGTGCATGCAAGGCAAGGACTTTAGCTGCTAGGCTACTGTGCCAGGTCCTTGGCTTCACATTTGTCCATCCAAGGCAGTGATGACACAGTCTTACTATGCAGGGTGTGAGGTTCGAGTTGTCCTCCTCCCACCCCCTCTTGCGATTGTAATGGCCTTGGGTTGTCATCACCCCCACACCCTTGGCCACTGGATGCTCAGCAGTCCTCATGTCCATGGGGTGGTCTGATAAGCATGTGCACATTGTGCGACCAGAGAAGAGACAGTGAGGAATCACATGAAGGGCATGTGGTTGGCAGAGAACTCTACCCAGGTGAACAGGTGAACACGACTTCAGCTACTCATTTTTGCTCCAACTGAAAGGAAACAGATTCTGATCCAGGGAAGCAGGTATTAAGACCTAGGGAAAGACCGGGTCACAGGGTGACCAGGCAGCCCTTTCCCTGTCAGTGGAGGCCAGATGCCAGGCTGAATGTGTTTGGCCAGCTGTGCCAGTTGTTTATGAACTTCTCGGAGGAGGGAGGTGAGGTGGAGGGGGTGATAGTGTCTGCAGTTCATTGGCTAATATGTTACAGGCAGTGACACAGGGGCTGTGTCTCATCCCAAGACTAGGATGTCATTGCTAAACTCCATGAGGGGGTGGTGCCTCTGTCATTTTTAGAGAAGAGGAGAGGCAGAGAGATCTTCCATCCATGGATTCACTCATCATATGGCTGCGAAAGTCAGAGCTGGGCTGATCCAAAGCTAGGAGGCAGGAGCCTCCTTCAGGTTTCTCATGTGGGTACGAGGGCCCAAGGACTTGGGCCACCCCCCTTTGCTTTCCCAGGCCATAAGCAGAGAGCCGGATCAAAAGTGGAGCATTCAGAACTAGAACCAGTGCCCATATGGGATATCAGCACCACAGACAGAAGATTACTGTGCTAGCCCACCACAGTGGCCCTGCCCTTGTCGTTTTTGGGGGACCCCTTCCCACACGGAGGCATCACTGGTCTTCCTCAAGACAGTAGTCTTGCTTTACCCCGTTTCTCACCTATGTGGGTAAAAGATGCATATGTGGCATGCCCACTTCTTGCCAACAGCTGTGCTTGCTGACAGAGGAGTGTGTTTTCTCTGCCCTTAGGGCCTCTGGGTAAAGCGCCTGTGAATGATGAAGCCTTCACAAGGCGTGGTTACTTACCAAGGGTTATGGGCTTTTGTTATAAATATGCCACTGTTTAGTGGCATCATCAATGGCTCCACTAGGTTGAAATATAGAGTTTTCATGAATTTGGTTTAATGGATCCATTTTATGGTAAACAATTTAAGACATCTTTGAGGTGATTTTACTGAGGCCCATATTATTTGCTGCCTCCCGTGACCTGAGCCATCAGTGCCCCACAGCTACAGAGGTTCCTCTGTGCCTCATCTAGCCAACTGCTCTGCCACTGCTAGGGATCTTCTTTTTTTCAGAAATCTGTGACACGTCAAACCATGTCTCTTCTCTCAGCTGAGAATCACAGATTGGTTGCCGAGATACCAGGCCTACTCAGGTTAGAGCCCAGGAGACCATCCTTGGCCCCCAGTCTGTCTCTTTCCTTCTCTTCCATCTTGGCACATTTACTGAAGCAGACTCTTCCAGGCTGTTTGTTCAGGGCAGGCAGTCCTTGTCCACGCTGTTCCTATGTAGTAAGCATGGCATGTCTTTGCTTGGTAGGTTTTTTTTTTTTTTTAATTAACAAAGTTTTGCTTTGTTTTGCTTTGGGGGGAGTCACCAACACTTTTCTTGATCTCTAAAGTTTATAAGCAATCCCATCATCCACAGCATCAGGGGCTGATAAATATCTGATGTGAACATTTGGCAGCCTCCAAGAAATGGAGAAGCAGCATAGAAAAGCATATTGTAATGTTTAAAGATTAAATTATTTGATGTCTGGTTATTTCTTTCTTTCCTTCAAGGCCTCTGATCATTTTCAAAAGGGTCAAACTCCCCGTGGAGTGTAATACTAGGTCCCCTGCCTTCTCATGATGGTGGGGGTGCTTTTTTTTCTGTCGGCCCGAGGCAGTGGCAGCAGCGGCAGCAGCAGCGGCAGCCTTGGCCTTGTGTGTCCATCTGGGTTTGCACCTGCTGGGCCCATGTACAGTTGCTGAGGAATGGTGTGCCCACGTGCCCAGCCAGCACTGAGGCCGTGTGTCTTCCTGCAGGCCCGTTCATCAGTGTGGTCCTGTCCAAGCTGGAGAACATGCTGGAGAACTCTCTGCATGTTAATTTGCTGCTTATCGGGATCATTACTCAACTAGCCAGCTACCCCCAGCCACTTCTCCGTTCCTTTCTGCTCAACACCAACATGGTCTTCCAGCCGAGTGTCCGCTCACTCTACCAGGTACGTCCGTCAGCTGTGCCCACATCCGTAACCTTTTGTCTGTCTGGGTGCTAATTCACTGGGCCCAGTTTATCCCTTTCCCTTCATGATTTTGTGTTTTGCTCAAAAAGCCCTCTGATGCCATTTGCTTGCTTTCTTGTCCTATTAGGCTAGCTATGTAGAATCTTTTGGACAAGGTGCAAAGCTTCATTTATTTGATGTTGTGAGGGTACCCTACCAAGAACGCACCGGCAGTTAACTACGAGCCACTGCCCAATATCCTAATAGTTGCAGTAATGAGGGCTGCACCTGAACCATACATTGATACCCAAAAGTGGAATTGCATTGTGAAGCCACTGGCATGGCTAATGTTATTTTTAACAGGTCCTTGCGTCTGTGAAGAACAAGATCGAGCAGTTTGCATCTATGGAGAGAGACTTCCCAGGGCTCCTCCTACAAGCCCAGCAGTATCTGCTCTTCCGAGTGGACATGTCTGATCTGACCTCGGAAGCGCTAACCAAAGGTCAGCCAGCCCTCCCCCCGGGCTCTCGTCTCTCCTTTCAACGGTTACTCCATTTCCCAAATGCTGCCCCATCACTTCCTGGGCTGTGGAAGCATCTGAAGATAGGTGTATTTTTACAGGGTGGGGGTGAGCCCCGCCTCGTGTTCTCAGGACTGAAGAAAGGTCCGCCCTGCCTGGCCGAGCCCGTGTCCCCTGCTGCATCCTGTCGTCTGTACAAGTACCAGGGCCAGCACAGATTCGCCAGTGGAGCGGAAGTGCTGACGGGAGCAGTTGAGGGGTTCGCAGTGCCTCCTGCAGTGTGCTTTCAGTGTGCTCACACTGGACTCTGGGCTTCCAGTGTGTGAAGTGCTTTCCTGGCAGTTTAGTTTCGTTAGTACTGGAAAATGGGTCAGAAGGGTTGTGTAAAGTTAGTGTCATGTGTGGAAGCTGAGGCAGAGGCCCAGGGAGGGCTGCCAGGATCCTGAGGCTGCAGTACTGAGACTGCCCTGGCTGGATCATCGAGATCCACGCACACATGGACCGGGCTGGACAGGCCAATGTGCTGACCCTGAACCGTCACGTTCAGGGTGGGGAATGTGGGAGGGGACCCCTCATGCCTGAGCCCTGTCCTGCCCTCAGGGTGTCTGGTGGCCATGTATGTGCAATGTATGCGCCCACAGGAACTTGTTTCCTCTGCACAAGATTGTCAGGTAGTCATCTAGCAGTCATAGTTTTTAAGACTTGTGACATTCAGGGTACCCATAGGGAGTCCTCCTGGGATATAAAACTTGCTTATTAACTAGGTATTTTGCATTAAGTTGCTAATAAGGTTGACTCCGAGGAGGGTGTTAGCAGAGTGACACTTCTCCTGCACAGCTGTCCTCTGCAGCATGCCTCGCCGGGGCGTGGTTTTCTGCAAGGAGCTGGAGCTGGCAGCCCTGTTCTCACAGGGACACATGAAGAGTCGTGTTGTCACAGGCCTCCTGTTGGCCGTTCCTGGGCCTGCGCAGTGCCCCGTGCTCCACAGTGCTGCCAGCGGGGTGAATGCTTCACAGCTCCCTCTCCCAGTTCCAGAATCTTCCCTGTGTTCGTTTTGAAAACCTTGTGCTGCCCTCTTTTAAACACCCAGGGTAGGATTTCATTTCAGAAACAACTGATTCTGGCACTCCCTTGTGCCTCTCCTTCCCTGCCTCTTCCATAGGCACTTGTGCCTGTCGTGGAACCCTGTTACAAGGGGCATGACTCAGGTGCATGCCCTCCGCCTCCTGCCAGCCGGGCTGGGAGGTAGGCGGTGGGTGGCAAACAGGCCTCCTGCCTTGTCCATGCCGCTGCCAGCTGACCGCCCAGGAGTCCACTGCCCTCTCGGGGTCAGGTTCATTCTCCCAAGCCATAGCATAATACTTCCTTGTGTTCTGTCCAGAGTTCTCTTAATTGATCTCTGATCCTAGACAGGAGGTGAGCTCACTGTCATCTCCACTTCACAGAAAAGGAAGCATGTCATGTGAAGGGACTTCAGAAAGCCTGTGGCAAATGGATCTAATTGGGACTCTTTGCATATAATGGGTCTTTACAAAATCTATGGAAAACGCGTATCAACTAGGAACAGCATGGATTTCAGATTTTCTGCACCAAAATAAACTTTTGATCATGCTTGCCATGAAGTTTTTGAAGTGCCCTTGTGTGAGAAGCTGTTTGCCAGAACCGCTTGAGGGGGCCTGTGGAGCCACATGGACAGGCCAGCCCCCTAGAGGTGGCCCACACCACTGTGCCCGCTGCTGACAATGTGAGGGCTCCCGGTGCATGCCCCTGTCTCCCTCACCACCGCCCCTCCAGCAGTGAATCTGGCTGGGCCTTGGCAATGATGCTTGTTGATGCTTGTGTCCAGCCAGCTAGACGAGCCACTAGAACCCTTGTAAGGGGAGGGCAGGAGAGGAGAGAACTTGAAAGACAAAGTTGCAGAGCAGCAGTGGGAGCCAGCTCCAGGGGGCTGTGGGAGCTGGGAAGAACTGAGGTTGGTCAGTTAGTTCGCTCACTCCATCCGCAAGCGCTCGTGTGCACCCCTGCTCCCGTGACTGTGGAAGGCTGGCAGGGGCTCAGCCTGGGGGAGCTCAAAGTCACGTGGAGGAGATGGTGCCAGGCTTGAGGGCAATGCCAGCCTCCATCCGCAGGCAGGGCTCCCCAAGGGCAGGGTGCCTGTGGTGTGTCGCCTGACCCTTAACCAGAGGTCCCTGTGTGCGTGATAACTGCCCACTGATTTCTCCAAGCTTGTGACCCAGAGGGGAAGCGACTTGCCTGAAGAAACTCAGCCAGCAGGTGGTGGCGTTTGGCTCAGCTGCAGACAAGCAGCAATGTGGGGAGGCATTCCAGGTGAAGGAAGCCTCACAACCAGTGCAGCTGTGGGCGTGGGAATAGAACCCACACAGCCCACAGGTGGCCTGTTCCTCATGGGTGTCCAGGCTGGCTTCCTTCCTGTGCTTGGCTGGGCATTCGGGAGACCAACACCGCCCAAGGGCCGGGGAGGGGATGATGTGTCCTCACCTTAGGGTCAGTGCAAGCTAAGAGTTTGTACTGAAAGGTACCAGCAGATTCCTGACATTTCCAGTTCTTTATGGCACAAACCGTGCGTGATGAGCTTTCCTCTGAAAGGATATTTAAAGCAGCAAAGTGGCAGGTTTTTTTTTTTTTTTTTAACACTAAAGACTGTAGTAGTGAGATGTGGAAAGTACTATAAATGTCAAGAATTTTTAGTACTGTAGTTAAGCGACACTCTACAAAGGGTGTTGAAAAATGGGACTGAATTTTAAACAGCAGCCAAAATAATGAAGAGCCTGAATATAGTGATTTAAAAGGAGTAATGAGACTATTTGGGTGTGGGGGTGGGGAGCAGAAGGAGGCCTGTATGATTGCCAGATATATGAGGGCTGGGGTATTAAAGAATTAAATAGTCAGGGGTACTGAGCCATTTTAACCAATAAAGCTGACTTGATAGGAAAATGCAGATCACTTAACTGTCACAGCATATGGCTACACTTCCCCGAAGGCTTGATTCTGAGCTGGAAAGCCCTGGGCGTTCTTTGGCAAAGCAGGCTTCCCAGCCACATGCCACCACTGCGTTCCCATGGCAGCAGGGAGTGGTTGGTGTGGTTTTGTCAGCACCCAGCTTGCCCCCTTCGCTGCTTCCCTTTCTGTGAAAGGCTGGCCAGCCAGGCCAGGAGGGGATGTGGAGCACCTGCAGCTGGGATCCTGGGGCTGAACAACAGCATCCCCGCTGAATCTCCACCATGCTCAGGCCTAAACTGCCGAAGACAGAACAGCTGCTTCAGCACAGGGAGCCCCTGACAGCAGGCGGGGCCACTCACGGGACATCTTCAACCTGTGGCAGCAGCACAAGACACCTTATTCATGTGTCCCTCGTCAGCACAGGCTGGGACCAGGGGATTCCTGACAGTCCTGTGTGGAGTTCCTTACGCAGGATTTTGGGTAGAAGGCTCCTCTCAGGTGCCACAGGCTGGAGGTTACCTGATGGCAAACACCTGTGAACCAGAACACCTGAGGTTGTGTCTGCATGCTTGCTGCCTGCCAGACACACCCCACACACCCTTCTCTCTCCATCTCAGGTGGCAGGCCAAGGGTCCTGGAGGGTAACCCTGACAGTTGTCTTTCTGGTTTCAGACCCCGTTCAGGAAGCTACCAGGACAGGAGGCGGCACGAACCTGTTGGATGGCCCCCCAAGAGTACTTCAGCCCTTCCTGCCAAGCAGAGCCAAGGTGGCTGGGGCGCCCCCACAACTGCCGCCGCCGGTGAGGAACCCCATGCTGGCCGCAGCCCTCTTCCCTGAGTTCCTGAAGGAGCTGGCCGCCTTGGCCCAGGAACACTCCATCCTGTGCTGCCAGGTGCTAGGGGACTTTGATGACTCCTGCTGTTAGCTTTTTTGTTGGTTTTTTTTTCCCCCTGAATAGAGGTTCTTGTTTCATAAGGTTTTAGTGTTTGGACTGAATGTTAAATGCAAAGCTGCTTGCACCGATTTCTACTTTGGTGTTTCCTGACGATACTTGATTTGCGGGATGGGCATTTTCTGTCTCCTCACCCCTGGGTGGGTCTCTCCACCTGACGGCGTATCGAATGTACATCCCACAGCTGTTTTGTATCTGTGGCTTTTCCTCCTCACTCTGTCCGATGACGATGAGCTCAGCACCCTTCCCCCACTCCAGGTCATTCATCTTGGCAGCTCCGTTCCCATGGAGCCAATACTGGGGTCCAGCATTTGCGGGGAGGGCTCCTGTGGCTGGTGAGACCTATAGCTGCAGTGGTGCACCTGTGGCCTTTGGCTTCCGTGTTATCAAAGACTAAGGCTGGAGCCCTCCCCGCCGCTCCCTCCGGTTCTGTGGAACCAGCACCGCGAAGCCCATGTCCCTCCGACTTCCAGGACGCAAGTGCTACCCAACACATAGTGCCTTATGGGATGGGAAAATCCAGCGGCCTCCACTCACTCCCTGCCTGGGAAGCCAGGAGCAGCCAGAGAGCATTTGGAATGGAATGTTCCTGGTTGTTGGAGACCTTTCTCATCAGCATGACCCCACTGAAGTAGCCTTATCTCTGTGAGATGTGCATAAAATGACACTGGCCTATGCAAACTGTCACTGTGGCTTTCGGGTGTCTGAGCAGATGAAGAAAGCATGGAGTGGTGTGCTTCCCCAGAGAAGCGAGGCAACCCACATTCATGCTTTAGTGTTCCATGAAAGCAGCCATCAGCTTAAGGAGCTCTCGCTCACGGTGAGTTTTTCAGGGTGTGTGTATGGAGCGTGTATGTTTTTGGTGGGGGTTGGTAGGTAAGTTGTAGGGAGCCTGTGCAAACCACTGGTTCATGATTTTAAATTCTGTTTGCTTCTGCTAAGGTGTTGTACTTGGTAGAGAAGGAGAAACCAGACAGCCTGCCAGGGCAGCTGGGATGTAAATGCAGTGTTCATGGGCAGCCCTGCAGAGCCTGGTGCCTGCTGGCCATTTACCCCACGCGCGCGTGCACACACACACACACACACACACACACACACACACGCACACGTGCTGCCTTCTGAGTCATGAGCTTTATTGGAGGCCCCCACGTGGCGTGTCCGTGCCCCTGTCGCTGCTCAGTCTGCTCCAAGAGGCGCGATTATGTTGACAGCCACAGCCACCTTAAACCACCACCAAGAGGGGAAGTGCACGGAATAACTGCACACTGAAAATAAGACCAGAAAAAAAAAGCCCTTGTTTATGGAGATGAAACTCCACCCCAGTCTGTTTTGTTTCCAGTTTTGCAAGTGAGAGGCAAGTGAGGTGGAGGGGTCTCCGTGTTTGCAGGAAATTGAACAGTGTCCCCACCCCTGGCCTCTCCCTTCTTCTGAGTGTCTTTGCTGGGCCCCACGGGCAGCTGCAGGTCTGATACATGTCTCAGGAACAACGTGGGTCTGGCCTTAATCAGGCTCTAGGTACAGGAGGAGAGACTCGCCAAGATGCCACACAGCACAACAGTCCTTATGTGCTCTGAGGGTCTTTCTGCAAAGACAGACAGAAAGCCGCTGGAGTGAAAATGCCAGGAAATGGGGCCCGGCCAGGGTCAGCTCTCAGGAACCAGCCCAGCAGTTTCATCACTGGTAAACAAGAAAGCAAGGTGTCCAGTTTCTGACTTCTGATGGGCTTGTCTTCGACATTAGTGTGTGCACTGTAGGGCAGCAGCAGCAGTGTGCAAGGCCCAGCCATCTGGCCCACTGTGGACACCCCAGTGTCTGCTCAAACAGAAGCTTTGTTTTAAGGTGGGGAGAGGGACTATCGAAGATGGGACTTAGCTCTAATTTATTATCCTCTTTATTTTGCACAAATATTTATCCTTGTGTGGACTTACCCAAGTCACAGAATGCTAAGGCCGCATCTGGGAAACTATTCTTGAGCTTTTTTTGGCTTGATTTGCACCTTGCTCCACTCTCTGCTGGTGGCAGTGGGATCGCTGCAGTGCAGGTTCACTGTGGAATGTCACATTTATATTTTTCTTTTTCCCAGTAGGTACTGAAGTAGGCTACTTTAAAGAAAGGTGGTATTGACAGTGCCTGGGATACGGGCAGCATGTGGAACTGCTCCTGGTGGGTGTTGGCAGCAAGCTGTCACACTAGGCCTCCTGAGCTGCCCATGTGGACCTGGAAAGCAATGCTTATTTCTGAGTCCATCACAGTCCTGCCCACAGGGTTGAGTTCACGGTTTTACAAAAATGAAGTTGGGGAAATGCACCTGCCAGCTGAGTGTGGTCATGCCAAGTGCAGAGACCCCAGGCGGGAACAGGAGAGGCGCAGACCCTGGAAAATTTGGAGGAGGGAAAGCTGATCTTGGCAAGCACAAAGATACTATGTGGCAGGTGGTGATGGTGAGAAGGAAATCATAGTGCTGAAGTAGAATATTCTAGGTCTGAAGTAAACAGGTCTTTAGAAATCATAAATGATGAATTTGGGAGAAAAAAAAATTTGAAGATATGTAGCATGCTTAAAAAATGTGGTCTGAGAGTAGACCCTCTCCTGTGTGACAGACAGGCTTCCACGTTGTTGGGAAAACACAGCAGAGAAAAGCAGTGGCTGCAAACCCTTTGGGGCAGGCTCCTGGGCGGGCGTCTCTCTGTCTGGCTCAGCGGCCTGGCAGGGAAGGTGAGTCATGGGTTCCTGGACTATCACGGCATTAACCTCAAGTCATAATTCAGGGTCTGACTTCAAGTTCCAGACTGAGTGGATTTTGTGGTTCAAAATATGAGAGCACTGACTTATTTAAAATTGATTTTTTTTGAAAACGGCTAAGTCAGTAAATGTTTTTCCAAAACACTTTAAAAATATTTGTGTGTGTGTGTGTGAGAGAGAGAGAAGCAAAATGTCGACAAAGGCCAGGGGCTTCCTGGGAGTCAAAGCTGGGAGGTGGGATGGGGTGGCTGGTGAAGCTGAGAGCCGGGAACTCGATGCAGGTCTCCTGTGGGGGTGCAGGACAGGCACCATGTTCTGTGGGCCCTGCCCAGTGCCTTCCGGAAAGCTGGCATCAGGAGTGGAGCTGAGGCTGTAACCCCACACTCCAGTGTGGAAGGCAGGTGAGCATGCCGACTGCCAGGCTAAATGTCGACTCCTCACTTCACAAATATTAGAGAAATTTGCACAGCCCAGAATACACACAGGTACTGAGTGAGCTAACAGTTTTCCAGCTGTCAGGTGGGGATCCTGGAATAACCAAGTACAGATGCTGCTTTCCTCATGAGCTGGCTGCTGCTCTCAGTGCTGCGTAGAGGGGACCGTGACCAGCCCTCAGTAGTGACCTTCCCTGAGGAAGGGGGCTTTTATGTGGGTCAGAGAAGACTGTTGGCTTTCAATCTATTAAGACTCACAGGGCCAGGATGCTGCTCAGAAAGTAGCAGCTTGTGTGTAGAATCCAGGGATGGGAGGCACAAACGGGGGTACTCAGAGCTGTTTTGTTTGTCTAGGAAGTAGGGTTGGCTGCTGTGGTCATGTGAGCCGACTTCCATGTGTTCCTTGAAACTTAGACCAGGCTGAGGCTGTGCTTCCGGGTTGCTGTCCGCCAGGAAGCACTGCCTGGGTAGGTGGGCCGTGTCTGGTGTGGTTCCATGTCTCTGTGTGCTCTAGCAGTCAGTGCCGATCAGAGTCACCAGTCCTGTGGTTGCTGAAATGGCGGGCGTGGTCGCTGGCACAAAACGCCCTTTGGCGGGACAGGTGCTATTTGTTGCAGGTGCTGCTCCCTGTCACCGGCCCTGCCCATGTGTCGCTCCGGGGGTCTCAGCCAGCCCTGTGGCATTAGCTCTTCCGTGGCACAAGCCTTGACAGCTTTTGAATCATTAAGAAAAAAATTCCAGGCCCTTCTAAAGTGCTTTCTCCATCAGTTAATACATCACACAACAGCAATTCTCCATCAAATAACAGCTTATCAGAACAAGGCAATGAGAACACATTTTGAAAGAATGAGTTGCCTTTTTTGTGTGTTTTTTTGGTTTCTGAATGACTGTCATAAACCTAATGCTTCTGAATGAGCTCTCAGAAGACTAAGAATGGTTTGGGGGATAATTTGGCCTTAGTAAATGAGATCTACATTTGGGCATTTATTAGGCCATTAATTGTTGTGAGGACCGATCATTTCGGAAGCTCATTAACGGGAGAAACAGGGCTTTTCGGCGTGGGTCTCCGGGAGGAGGGCTGGGGCACAGCGGGAGAGTGCCTTTACCTCCTCGGCCTCCTGCACCTAGAATGCCCAGAAACAATCATGGCTTGAGCTACCGTTTCCTTCCCTGTTGGGTCACTGAGAATTGTGCCCCGACGAGACATAGCCTGTAACCCCGACTCACCATTGCTCACTGAGGCCCCGATCATAAATGTCATGGAGCTGAGGCTCTACCCGTGTGCTTTTTAGTGTCAGCTGATGTTTTCCTGCGTGTGTGCAAAAGTCTCACCCCAGAACGGGCCCTTCTTAGCCCTGCAGGTATTGAAGGAATCTGGCCCGGATGGCCTGACCAGTGATACGTTTGCCAAATCATCTGAGGACTGTAGTGGGGAGCAGGGCACCCCACAGCTCAGGGCCAGCGCAGCTCACAGCCACACTGCAGAGGAGGCAGAGCTGCCACTGTGGTCACAGGTAACTAGGCCTTCCTGTTGGACGGGGATTTAAACATTTTTTTCCTTTCCCTTCTCAACAGTCACTGTGATACAGCTAAATTCAATTGATGTGAAAAATGCAATGTAAGGTGTAGGTCACGGTCCTAAACTGTAAGCGGAATTGTCCAATTTTAAGCTCAAAGAGGGTCTACACTTTCAGAAATGTCACGGTGTTCTTCTACTTGAGCGACAGTGATCGGAAAGAAAAGGGACGGGGCGCTCGGCAGGGACAGCCTTCCTGGGCGCAAGGACTTAATTTTCTC